CAAAACACCTTACTCTGTAGTCACAAGGGCTTCATCCATAGAAGGCAGAAATCCAGAGACATCAACCCGTCCCCACATACCGATCCTAAATCTCGTGTAGGCTCTGTCGTTTCTGATACTACGCCTGCATTGCCACATTCTGGTACTGAAACGGCGCAGGCAATACTAGGGGGACAGGATACTACACCTGCAACAACTGAAAGCCAATGTGTGAAGGACAACAAACCTAAAAGGAAACGCTCAAGACATCATAAGACCTCGAAGGCGTCACCAAGTAAGGGAGACGAATGCCAGGCATGCAATATCATTGTTTCTATAGCTGACTCAGCTTTCGAATGCAATTTTTGCACTGCCGTTGCGACAAAGAGGTGCCAGAATCATACTGCGAGTTTATGAGAAATAACCTGTGCCCGTGGTTTTGGTACATCTGTCCACTCTGGCGCCCTGGCGTAGTCACACAGAGCGTGTCTGCGGTTAGCAGAAACAACACGCCGTCCTTGTGTCCCAACACGGTCTTATGTAGCTCCCCACCTGCTAACATCACATTGCCGAAACTTGGCACAGACAGTGAGAAGGACACTCCAGTCCTACTGACTGAAAATGCCAATTTTTACAAGGTGAAGATCCACAAGTTTGGACCTAAAACATCAAGGAAAGATAGAATTAGAGAAGCGCCACTTGCATCCACAAGCAAGCTTGGCAACACAATAAAGGCTGGCCAGAACCCGATGAAGCCTAAAGTTGCTGATGCTGCAAAGGAATACGAGAAGCCAAAGGCCAAACCTAAGTCTGAGGTTAATCGGTCTAATTCGCTCATCCTCTTTAACGTACCTGTGAGCAAGGACAGCTTGCTTGAACAGCGGGCCCTGTTTGATCAGGAACAGTGGTCCAACTTGTGCAATAAACTAGGTCTGAATATTAATTCAGTGAAATTGTGCAGGCTGTACAGGGGTGTCCACACACCTCAAGGTAAGCCACCCCCACTACGGGTTGCACTGGACTCTGCCGAAGAGGCCGAAAAGGTACTATTGATGGCTCAGGTACTAGCCATCGACAGAAGCTCTAACATAAGGGTGAGACAAGACAGACCATGGGCTGTCAGACAAATGGCGAGGAAGTCACCGGAACTTTTGCCTTCCACCTCTGTGGTAGTGCACGGTGTCCCGGAGCTGGAAACGGGCACTGCCTGTGAAAAACACATGCATGACGTACAGCAGTGGAGATGGCTGTCGTCTCAGATGGCCCTTGGCGCTTCTGGAGCCATCTCAGTTTACCAACTACCTCGCCCCGCTCATCTCACACTGATTAGCTCCCCAAAGCTGCTAAGTGTCACATTCAACTCCCCAGAGCAGTTGGCCATAGAACTTCAAGGGTGGTATGAGATCAAGGGGAAATTGGGAGGACACATCCGATGCTGCGAAAGCAGACCTCGAACCATAAGGAGGCAGCAAACGGAGGCTTTAATACGTCCCCAAGCTTCAGTGACACTAGAGCGATGGAGTTCTGAGAATAACAGTCTGTGCCACCCAAGTGTCCTGCCTAAATCCAAGGGAAAAAACCACAACGGGACGGTTGCCATCGGAACGAGCCAACTAGTCCCAACACTAAGTTCCCTACCAGCAGACAGCTTCACGTCAACTACCCCACAACACGCTGAGGTTGTAAGACTCACTGTCAGCTGCCTGTATAGCAATGTGAGGGGGCTGAGAGTAAAAATAGGTGAACTCCGAAAACACCAAGCACACCTACAACTGAAAGTGATCATTCTCACCGAAACATGGCTAACCCCAACTGTCGCCGATAATGAAATCAGTATAGGTGATATGGTTTTGGTCAGGAGAGACAGGGGTAATAAGGAAGGAGGGGGAGTTGCCATATACTTTGATAGGCAACTTAAATGTGTGCGCGCAACGGACCCACCACTTATTGAACTCCCAGACTCCATATGGCGTCATTTCACCGTAGGCCACACCAAGCATTTACTTGGTGGCATCTACCGATCTCCCACCTGTGGGGCAGAGCACAATCAGCTACTGCTCAGCACTATCACAGAGATGCGAGACTTGGGCTATGACCAAATCACCATAGCTGGAGATTTCAATGCCCCATCACTGAACCTTGGCTCGAGGTATGCTAAGGGAAAATTTGACCGAAATCTACTGTGAACTATTCGGAACACGGGACTGACTGAGAATGTTGGAGACGACACTAGGTGGGACCCTAGTGGAAAGTCATCAAAACTAGACTACATTCTAAATAGTGACCAACTACTCATCGAAAACGTCCAGGTCATGACTCCTCTAGGAAGTAGTGACCATGCAGTCATAGCTTTCGATCTCGTTCTGCGTGAGCACTTGCAGTGGGACGCTACGCAACCATGTCTGTGTTATAGCAAGGCTGACTATGCTGAAATGCGGAGGCTCTTGTCCAATGCAGACTGACCCTTAGCATGGGATGAGCTGTCTGTGGACGATCTCTCAGAAGTGGTAAAAAAGATTATTCATACAGTAATCTCAGATACCATCCTTTCAGTCACAACACAGCCCAAAAGAAAGTCATCATGGCTGAAGAGAGGCACGCAGCGTATTCTGCAAGCAAAGCGGAAGGCTTGGTTTACGTGGCGCGTATCTAAAAGCCAGATCGACCATGATGCATACCTGGAACTCAGGAACCGGTGCAATGCAAGAGTCAGGAGGGACAGAAGGTCATTCCAGGCTAACCTTGCTAAAAACCTCCTGGCAAACCCGAAGAATTTGTACCGATTCATGTCGGAAAGGAAACCAACCAACCAAGGGGCTTGCGCCTTACTAGGCCAAAACGGTCAATATCTCACTAGTCTGGAGATGGCTGAAACATTCAGTTTAGCCTTCGCCAAACAGCTAAACAGCAATGTGGGTATTACCGTTACGAACCAAAACGGGAGGAAGACCTAGTGACTACTCCCCAAATAAACCCCGCAATAGTATTAAGGAGGCTACAGGGACTCACACCTGGGAAGTCCCCAGGTTGTGACGACATCAGGCCATCTGTTCTGAAACAGTGCGCCGAAGCTCTCTGTAGGCCTTTATGCGACTTGTTCCAACACTCCATGGAATCGGGGAAGCTGCCAAAAGGAATGGAAAAGAAATATCCTTTCTCCGATCTTCAAGGGTGGGGGTAGGCGAAATCCCACCAGTTATAGACCAGTAGCTCTACTCCCAGTGGTATCAAAAGTACTGGAAAGTATTATTGATGATCACATCAGGGAATATCTCGATAGGTCTAAAATACTCCATGAAGCCCAACACGGTTTCAGGAAAGGGAGATCCTGCGTCACTAACTTATTATCAGCTTGGGACGATTGGACATCATGCTGGGGTATGAATGTTTCAGTCCATGTGGTCTTCCTAGACTTTGAGGAGGTATGTGACACCGTTCACCATGACCTTCTCCTTCACAAAATAGGCCAGGCAGGTATAGGTAAGCCACTTCTGTCATGGTTAAAGAACTACCTAGCTGAAAGTCAATTTTGCACTAAGGTCAATCGAGTACGATCATCTTCTGGAAGACTGGGCGGTGGCCAGTGGCATGACTTTCAACCTGAAAAAGTGCAAAGTAGTGAAGTTACGCACCTGTAGACTGCAGAATGCAAGTTACACCCTGTGCAATGAAAGCTTGTCCTGCTCAACGTCGGAACGTAACTTAGATCTAGTTCTAACGGAGAAAATGGACATAAGCGTAAACTACACGGGGGATGTAGCGAGGGCATATGCGGTCATACACTTTACACATAGACAATTAGGTGCACTCACTCCTGAGCTCTTTCTAAGGTTGTATAAAACATACGTCAGACCGCATCTTGAAGTGCATAATATCATTGCACCCCCACTGCTTAGAAGAGACGCCAACCTCTTGGAAAGAGTCCAACGGCGGGCAACAAAAGGAGTGGTTGGTCTCCAAAATAAACCATATGACGAAAGGCTGAAGAAATTAGGCCTATTCACACTCAGTTACCGTCGACTGAGGGGGGATTTAATTACTGCCTACAAAATAACAAATGATCAGAATCACCCAAACAAAGGTGTTCTGCCATTGAGTAGGTATAGGCTTCCTCGTGGAAACCCTAGAAGGATAGCTCATCAAAAGGCAAGGACCCGGGTGCGCTCCCACTTCTTTTCCCTGCGGGTTTGCCGTCCCTGGAATTCCTTACCGGCAGATGTAGCTATGGCACCATCTGTGGACGCCTTTAAGCGAAGGCTGGACAACCATGCAGCGACACAAGGACTTCATCCAAATGGCCTATCCCCTTGAAGTCGCATACACCATTCAAAGGTAGACAGTTAAACTGGTCGTTTCACTTCTTTACATTCTCTTCAGTCTTACTCTCCTGACAGCTTTAACTACACTTATTATTATTATTATCATTATCATTATTACTGGTATATATATATATATGTATACCGGTTGACTGACTGTTGTTACGTTTTCTTATCCTTTCTCTGTCTGTTAGTCTGAATACCTTTACTAATTATATCTATTATTATTATCTCTTTTCCATTGACGACGATACCGAAACACTAACTGGTGAAAGGATCAACTCCATTCACAGTAGCAACAGTCTTAACACACTTCATACTACAAATCCCATATAATTAACCCCAGCACTACTCCTGTTGGAGTCAACCAGAGCTACGACAGTCGAGTGGCGGGACGAGCTACACAGACGTTTACCGAAGATCAGGAACCTCTACCTCACAATCAAGAGGCGAGCACAAAGAAATCAAATTGGTTTATACTAGCTCGTAAAAACGATATTGAATTCGTCAAATATAAGTTCATTATATGCGGTAAAAACATAAGAGTCCTGAGGAAAATGCTGCAGAAGAGAAATACTTCTGCAAAATACTTGTAGTGTAACACTTTAAATTTTGTTTTAATCGTCCATTTAACTAATCTCACTATTTCTACAAGTTAAAAGGTGTAGCAAATTTTCGCTCAATAGTTTGTTGACCTGAAATCAAATGCCTGGTTGCCGAAGAACCAAGAAAACTTACATTCCAGAAGATGTATACAGGCCTTCACAGAATTCACTCACTAGAACTAGCGAAAATGGTCTACGTAATTATGGCAATGCATTAGACGATAGAACAAAAGTAAGTCAAGCATCTGTTCTGTTTGGCTGGGTTGATGAATAGTTTCTTATTTTCAAAATGTTCTACACATTTAAATCAGTTTTATGAGATTTTCACTCAATGAATTGCGAAAAGGTTTTAAATTACTAAACTTGACTTGCTGGTGGAACAAAGTGGCAAATACTTTTAGATAATAGAATCTCAACGTTCTGCATCTGTACAGATGTAATTAACCGACCTACATTTGTTTTGAAATTGATACTATGCAATGCATTTTTATTAAGAATTGAAAACAGGTGTTAATTTTTATCCTACAAAACTTTTTAGTTAGATGTTTCATCAAAAATTGTTCAGTAGTCTCTAGTATCGTCCACCCAAACTCCATGAGCAAACCATCTTAATTTGAATGTATCTAAGTTTCTGTATTGGGTGTTTTGAATTAATGCCGTTTAGAAATATAAAGATACTTGCTGATTCTAATAAATCGAGCAAAATAACCATTCGTGTGAGCACAAACATTTACTGTAAATTTGTAGAATTTGCATCGTTATAAGTTTTCTGAATTTCTGAGGTTGGTTAAGGTTTCGTTGAGCAGCTAAGAAACATTGATTTATCCATGTCAATAAGTACTTTCGTCTAACTTTCTGTAATTTGCAGTTGTATGAAACGTCAGTCCTTCGTCTAATCATTAATTTCGTCAAAAATATCGACGAATTTCGGTTAAAATGAGGGTAAATAAATATATTTACTAAGTAAAACAGGACATAATCTTCACAATAAGCGGCTTCAGATTGTTATACAATTGCCATCTTATTGAAAAATTTTGACAGGTCATAAAATTTGTCAAACTGGTAGTCTTACGTGGTTTAACTCAAACAGATCCAGACTCAGTAAAGAAAACTCATAAATCACGGTATATGGATCGAATTTTGATAAAATATTTTGGTGGATGTCCTTAATCAAATTATAAATGACTGTGAGGCATAAGTTAATGCCTTCTAGGTCGTAAAATGCCTAGTCGTTTTTTGCTTATCAGTGTATATAATTGATTTAGAAGGTTAAAATCTCACGAGGAAGCCATACTATTAGTTATTGTTTCAGTGAATGAATGCAACTAGAAATTTGTCATCAGTATTTAAGTTTTCCACATAAGTGATGAGATTTGATGCATATTTTGGTCCACCTATGTTTTTGATTTATATCACAGTTATTTTTGGAAAAAGCGAAATGATACGTGTAGTGGATTTGATCAGCAGGAGTACTGCTTGATAATTTTATTCGTATTTAAATTGGTTCTACCAGTTGGATCTGTATTTGTGTCAGCTTTTCCTTTGAAATGCTTCATTAGCTTTATTAGAATGAAAGATGCAAAAAACTGATATGAATTTTAAGCAAATGCGAAGAGGATACACATGATTGGTGATGAATGATTGAGAAATAAGGAAAAATCTTTAGGTTCTTCACTTCACCCACTGCTTCAATAGCTGCTTATGTCAGCAAAATACTAAACACTCATTTTGCTGGAAGGAAATAAGAGTAGTGAAAGGTGTACCACTGTCTTTTAACTCTGTACCTCCATTAATTTCTTCATCAGGTCAACAGCACCTCAACAAAATGAAAACTTCTGTAATTCTGAAGTGACCCTCACTATATTTTACCTTGGAAGCTATAAACAGGTAGTATATACCATACTTACTTTCTTTTGACAATGTCACTCATGAAAGCTGCACAACTAAATGGAGCTTGGTTAATGCATAATTTAAAAACACTGAACTCAATTAAACACATTTCACATCTATATTCAGGAGATTCCCAGTTATACATCCTATTTAACATAACAATAAATGCATTTTTAAATGAAAATATTAATTTGATAATTGTTGTATTAAATTTGCAGCAAGTATTCTATAGAAGCGTGCCAGAAAATATTATGAAAGAGACAATATATGGGCAACGTTACTATAACCAACCACATTTACAGAATTCAAACATGAGTATGAAAAACGAGATGGACACGTATCGGGTAATCTTTTGCCACACTAATATACACTGAATCTGTTGTTCAAGCTAATTATAAAAACATAATACACATATTGTGCTAGGTGTGAATCAACCATAGTTTTGTTCTCTAAACCACCTTATGATAATAACGCATTTCATTTTAGTGACACTAGAATCGACTGAGTTTACAACTTTTTACTCCGTGATTAGAAAATACAGTCGTAACAAAGAGTATCATTTATATGGTTTTTATGAAATTTAACAGGTCAGGCTATTGGTTTGGCACACAGTGATATTACCAAACCACGACTCAGAAAAATGTATAGTTAGTCATATTAATCAACAAACCATCCAAACGCCGAGCAAGTAATCAAAGCCAAAGGGCGTCGGATGGGTGTTATAAATTACGAGATGTTTTCATGTTCAGATTATTTACATTATCTTTCTAAACTCTTTCCAGTCACTCTGAAGTACCCTAGGGTTTGATTTAGTACTTAATAAACATTTATACTGAAAATACGCCAGAGTGTAATGTATAAACTAAAGAGTCGCTGAATACGTCTACAAGTCGCTACTGCCAATGATTGTTATTGTGAACGATTTTACAGAGACAGGTATATTTTAGTTTTACAAGATAAATTTAATAACTAGCGTCAGCATGTTCTGTAAAATCATAAAAGGAAAGTTTATAACATGAGCTGTTTGTTTCTGCAGATTCTACCCAAATGACATAGAGGTTAGATTTTAAGTTAAAAAGAAGTGCACGAATCTCCTTGTTACTTATAAAACTAATACAGCAACAATGTTCGAAAAATATTCTAAAAGCGTCAGAATGAAAAATTACCAGGATCAAAATAAGACCTGTTTGAAGTGCAGCTTTAAAGTTAAAGGTTCTAAACCAACCTTATAAGGGCTTTCTACCACTTTTATTTGTCAGCCTGTGCGTGGAAGCATTCCAGAAAGTGTCCGAGATCCGGCATATGGACAAAGATATTATAGTCAGCAAAGATCACCACAAGGTCAGAATTTGAGCATCAGACGTGAACTGGATACAAATTATGTGAGATAAAGTTTTTGTTCTAAAATTAATTCTTAAGCTGGGCATTTTTATGACGACATTGTACATGTATGAAATGAATTTCATGTTTGGTAGATAGGTGTTAGAATATTTCTAGAGCCAATTTTTCATGTGGAATGTTACACCAATAAAATAAAAAAACGAGTGAGGACGTTATGATTAAGTTTATAACTCCTCCAGGGTTGTTGCACAGTAGTCACAAGAGTGATTTACTAGGTGTAACTTACATCGAAAAACCTATTTCAAATTAATAAGTCAATTTTGGAGTTAATTCTAATTGAACATGAAGTATATTCCTGTTAACTTCTGTCAAAATATGGAATTTTAATGAAAAAACCTTCTGGTAATTACAGTATCATATTATTTAAAGCCAACGTTTTCAAAACCTATCTGATTTTTTTTTAAGAGACTCGCAGTTCGAATGCTGAATAAGAGCTGAAACGATTTCAGACTGAGTGAGAAAGACAAAGTCTTGTGAAACTTAAAAACTCATACTGTGTGATTAATAAGTAGTTGCGCAAAACGAAATTAAAAGACAGACCACTGCAAAAGCTCTTCTTCCTGAATAATCATCATTTGTACATGTTTTCTCCTTCGAAATTTTCCTGATAGAGTTGAGATATTATTTTTGCCTCACTTCACAGTACATTCAGACTTCTTTCGGCAAATTGATATCAATGTTTATATACACTTGAGGAGATAAATTATTAAATAAACGATTTGAAATTCACCGCTGAACAGGTGAATTCTGAGTTCAGTCACTGCTACATGTGGCTTATTCACCAGTTTGCATGCATTCCACTTGCACTAAAATTCATAATTAATTACATGGAACAGAAACATATGACTATTTCTGTGAAGATATAATATCGTGAAATGAATCAGTATTTGATTTACACCTGAAAACTAAACGACCATCAGACCACTGTCAGTCTTATATTGTTCAGATAACTTATCACTGTAGTTTTGAACTTTTTCATTGTTACAGAGTGAGTATGAATATAACAAACCAATTAACAATTACAAAGAAGTCTCAAGTTATTCAAGGTTAGTGAAATATTTAGGATTAAAATTTCGATACATGGCTTTGTTGAAGTCCAGAGAGATGTTATCGCTTATTTGAATCACAATACTTTTGGAATGTCTCACCGACTACTGTAAGGCGTTATTCACTAATATGCTGACGGGCCTATTCAATGTTGCCGTTAACAGATTGAAGCCTTCGAAGAGGCTGAGTGAAAAACTGAGAATATTTGATACGGGTCTCAATTCCTTCACATGAATGACGATGCGTCCCTAATGATGTTAAATAACTTTTAGCTTATGGACAGCAGGCTAAATAGACGAACATGTTGATTACAAGAAGTAAAATTGTATCTATAAGGCTATTTATTATGTGGCACTAATATATGTTAAGTCAAACAACTTATCGAAAAACAATCTTTACTCTTGCATGAATAAATGCTTCATCTTTAAGTTTTAAAAGTTTTTACGAAAAATATTCATAAAACATACTGAAATGAATGAAATATTTATACATATAACATGCTTTAATCATAGACACCTATAACTCAATTATAATTGCAAGTGAAAGCCTCCTTTCGTCTCGTCACTTTGATTTACTCAAAAGTAATTTGAAGAGGCTGATTAATTGATAGTGAAGCATTAAAAAAATTCATTTAGAACTGATTAGTTCAAGAAATAGTCTGTTTTGACGATGAACGTTTCGCGATTGAGCTATCATGCTTAGTAAATACAAAACTACACCAATAAAAAGTAATTTGTCAGGTAAACGCGACTGAAAATATTTCTCTCAAATCCTTCTACTCTGTTTATTTGAAATATGACCAATAGCTTGATGCCTATCAATAAACAGTAATTTCCACTAGATGAAAAAGTATGATATGACTGACACGAATTTCTGATGCCAAGTCATAAAGTATTTTGAGGTCATAATGTTATCGCATACGACAAACCTAGAATCATCAATCAGCAACAGTTGCTGACAGTCTCATCTGTATTGGGACCGGAATTCCTTAATTCTTATCTGCAAAAAACTAAAGGAGCATAACTTTGTGTAAAAATATGCTTCTTTGTTTTACGGTTATTATCTACAACAGATTCTTCTCAGTCAGTGACATTAGCTTTTCAATGAAATTTTTTAAAATTATATCACAACTTATTCCATAATAATTGATATTTTAGCTGTTGGAAATAATCATATCTGCAGACACTATTCATTCACTAACATAAGACAAATGATTTCCCTTTGCATTTCTAATTGACTTATCACAGGCCCTATCAAAGAACGGAAAACGCTGACAACATACGTCCAGTGTATTCGTATAATGTTGATGATATGCCAAACGGAGGGTAAGTTGTATGATACAGAATAATGTAATTACCAAGAAAAACTATTAATTTAACTGACTGACTGATTTACCAACGAAAAGGTTTGAAAAAGTTGCAGCAGTTCAAGGTTTTGCACTTTCAAGAAGAGAACAGTGAGTCGAACAGCAGACATATAATGAGACTGTAATGGAAAGAGAGTTGCAGGTAAGAGAACAGTTAAATGAGGATTAGTGAAAATCACCCAAAATATGCATTGAGTCATGAAGAAAACAAAATACAGTTTAGCGAAGAAAATTTTTTATGTCGAAGAAATCATCTTCAGAGGCTGTACAATCGTAATTACATCTACCAAAAATGTATGGTGGTCCATTATCCAGTAATAGGGGGGTTGACATAAGCGACATAATTGATCAGAAGTGTCTTCAAATGTAACAATAATTCCCATATAGTTAGTTTTATCAGTGAAAATCTTGAGAAACTAGATGCTGAAAAAAGTGAATGCATGTGCCTCATTGGGGATGGTTCCTCTATCACACTAAAAGTTTACAACCATTATTCTGCAATACTCTAAGGATTCCAGCCACTCATTATCGATTTCTCTATAAATCTCAGTCCAGCAGTCATAGGCTTCGTAAATATTTGCCACATTCCGCCCTTACTAATCTAGTCCTGCTTTAAGCAACAATGCTGGTCAATCGGGACAACACCTTAGTATGATTAAAAGATGTGTCATATTTTTTCTGGTGAAGATTCACTTAGCTGTTGGTTGAATTAGATCAAAAACCTAGTGTTATCCCTTTATTCTAGGTAGTACCAATTTGATTTTGCATCCTGAATCTTTATTGGCAACGTTTTAGAGTCCTAAATTTAGACAAGATGAACAACTGTACAGTACACGCGCTTTCACCAATAGTCGACTATACAAACGGAAAATCTGGGAATACCAGGCAGGTGTTTCGTCAAAGTTTGGGACTCTTCATCGGCACACACACCCACCGGGGGTGAAACCAAGGACCTTCTTAATTCAAGGCGAGCTCGTAGACCATTAAGCCAATGAGATTTGATTCAGTGGCCCATGAATTTTAACTTCTGCCAATTCATGACATACCACGACCATTTCGCAATGTCTTCTTCGATGAATTACTGCCTCATCTTCAACCTGCGCTACCCTGCTGGTCACGGCTTCCAACTAGAACCTCAGGTCACTGCCTGAATAGTGCCAATCGCTAGTGAGCATCGGATTAATTTCCAGTACTGGTTTTGTGGGAATTTTGTTTGATTGCATGGAGGATTTCACTATGAGCTGACATCCCAAACTAGGACGAAACAGCTGTTCAATACGTCAAGGTTTTTCCAGTGGTTCTCTGACTGATGTCAGCTCATGATTAAATCCTCCATTCAATCGAACAAAATCCCTACAAAAACCAATACTTGAATATACCATCAGAGCCAGAAATCTGATGTCATGGCAGTTCAAATTTTATGCAAAGATATCGTCAATAACGAGTTCGTCAGAGTGATATTACTTCGGAATTAACTGAAGTGGTTAGTGTATTTTCTTACTGCACTTCGTCTCTATGCTAGAAACAGTTGTAGGTGAACCTAATTGAATTTACGTAAGACTATGTTGATTACTGAAAATAAATCTGCGAGACAACTGAGGCTAATAATTGAAAGTCTGGCAGATGCAGTTCAGAATCTGGACATGTTAACTATTCGCTATTTTTCTACTTAGTGGGTTCGTCTTTGTCAAAAACCGGAATTAACACTACTTCTCTTGAAGGTAGCTTTTTAGCCACTAACTGCTTTGAAAACCGGTATATGGGGGTTATGTGACAAGAATGCTATCTCAGGGATATGCAGAAATTCAAATGCATGATTCAAACCGACAAACTGACAGTACACTCTTTATCTTATGAACGATCTGTAAGCTTGATTCTTCTATGGACTTTGAGTATCTAGCGGAGAATAACATAAAACTATGACAGGAGAGCCGTTTAGTGATGATTTATTTTAATCCCAATAATATATGCAATCAGTTTGAGATAAAATCAAAAGCAAAGTAGTCCAAACCCTCACACAAAAAAAGAGCTAAACGCAATCTATAGAATCCAAGAAACTACAATGGTCAATTTGATTCACTCAACTTTTTATTGAAGTAGGAACTTTCACACTGGTTTGCAAAGAAATTGATCGGTCTTTGATATTTCTCATCGCTAAAATGACTTTCTGTCAGTCTGACCTCAGAATTATTGTGTAACTTCTGTTTTTCACAGAAACATCCGAGAGACATATCAACCGCGTTACAATTCCCCTTTTCCAAGTCGTTCAAATCCACCAACCAGTACTTTAGTTGAGTCAAGGTGAGTGATGTTTTCACATGAGTAAAAATGAAAACTGGTTAATACTTTTATGTGAGAAAAGTTATGGGGTTAAATAGTTTAAGAATGATTACGGGAAGTGCAAAATATTACTGTCAAATGACTTGTTAATCAACAATTAAAAATAAAATTTAGCAGAGCTGAGGAAATGGAAAGTGAGACAAACAAATTGTTATAGGTAAGTGAGATGAAACAGACACTAACAGATTTACGAATGACAGGATGATTAACTTACAGCACTCAGAGAAGAAGCTGTCGATGCATTTTATCACTTAACAGTAATAAATAAACAATATTTTTGTGCTATTGTCATCATCAGTTTTGCTTGTGAATCATACGTGATAGGATATCAGGACTACCAGTACCGGAATAATGAAACAGCTATGAGCCAAAATAGTTTAGTCCTCAAATAATCTTCTGCATTCTAAATCACGACCAACTAACGCCATCTTCACAGTTTTTAATGTCTAAGATTTGAAGAAAGGTGGACAACATAGACAGCTTTGAGGGGACAAGCTATTAGATTGTCTTTGTCTAAAGGATCTAAGCTAGTGCTTCAAAATAATAACATATATTGCTTCAGCAGGGACCATGGGACCTCAGTAACATCTAAAACTTGTCTCAGTAGAACACAGCTATGCTTATAGAAATAGGGTTAGTTAGAAGCATGAGATCACTAGACAATATCGGCTGGGAAAGATTAGGTTTCATATGCGTGGATCAGCAGCGTGAATCCTTTAGCTTTGTTAAGTCAGTATTTTACACTCAGGCAAATTAGTGAATTTCATCTGATTCGCTTCATAAAGTGTGGAGTCACATTCGTTACTACCCAACAGAAGCATGAGAAATCAGTAAGATACATGATTTTTTATGGTGATTTATTTTATCTTCAGAACTGGGTGTGCTTGAAGGCGAGTTCTATTCTTGCAGAATGCTATGCACTTTCGTGGTACAGGCAAACGACACTTATTGACACCTGGTGAATTAAACACAGTCAGGATATCCCGCATACGATTGAAACCACCAATTCTTTTCCACAGCTTGCTCAAGAATTTTAATGGAAAAATGATAAACAGGAAAAGTGAAGTTAGTCATTACATAAATGTTTCCGTACAATATTCAAAGAGGATTTTATACAGTTTATCTTAGGCGTTTGTACACATTAATTAGGCTTTCAGAGGAACAGTTATTCCATGAATATGACCCGAAAGTCACTCTTACGTAAAGAGGGTATCCCAAATGTCGATAAAAAAAGAATAACCATTGGTCTGTGTCGCCTGTATGTATAACTATAATACCGTCTCTCTAGTGATTTAATCCATACAGAATTAACCCTATTTTGTCAGTATACAGTATCTACAGTGTAAAGTGGTCACTTTGATTTTAAGAAATCCTATGGCTAAAATACTTTGGTAAAAATTATTTTTTCTTTTCTTTACCTTTCTGTGTGTTAGTTTAGAGAAGTCTTAAACTCTGAATACACAGATGTAAGATAACTGAAAATGTTTTCATTGTTTCTTAGACTTCTTATGAACAGTTTAATAATATTCTCAGTTTGCTGCTTTTGTTTTCTGAAAAGTTGTTCAGCAAAATTTTATAATAATTAAAATTAACATCTGATGCAGTCTGGCCACTTTTTGCTAAACTACTAGTGAAATGAGCAGTTCTGATGATAAGTCTTTTGTGATCTACTCCATTTTTTTATTTATTTCACATGTGGATTTTTCTACAACATCTTTTCTAGAAACATTCGTGAAACATATCAACCACGCTATAATTCTCCGTACCCAAGTCGCTCGAATCCACCGAATGATCTTTTGCCTGAGCCCAGGTAAGTGGAATATTTTCAAATGAATCAATAGGATATCAGTCATTGTTTACAAGCGGTAAATATTTTCCTCAGTGTTGTAGAATAGAAGACTTGCAGTACATAATAGTCAGGTTACCTTATTATATACAAATAAATATACAGTGTGTAAATCACAATTAGCATCAGAATCGGTTATACAGCAGACATTGTTCACATTAGTGTATTCAAAGATTTTAATTCAGTCTTTTCTTCCTATTAATCGAAATAAATAAGACCATACTAGTTCAAAGCTTCCCTTTTTGATGTCGTGTTTTATCGCGTTAAATTATTAGTTCTCTGTGTTTATTTCTCATTCATATCTCCTTCTAAGGTACAAAGATGTTTTACAATAAGAAAGTAAAACATAATCCTTAAACTTGTGAAGGCTAAGGTTACACAATTAAAGGCAGTTTGATTGGTTGGAGGATTTCATCATGAGCTGACATCGGTCAGAGAACCACTGAAAAAACCTTGGAGTACTGAACAGCTGTTTTGTCCTGGTTTGGGACTCTTCATCGGCACACACACCCACCGGGGGTGAAACCAAGGACCTTCTTAATTCAAGGCGAGCTCGTAGACCATTAAGCCAATGAGATTTGATTCAGTGGCCCATGAATTTTAACTTCTGCCAATTCATGACATACCACGACCATTTCGCAATGTCTTCTTCGATGAATTACTGCCTCATCTTCAACCTGCGCTACCCTGCTGGTCACGGCTTCCAACTAGAACCTCAGGTCACTGCCTGAATAGTGCCAATCGCTAGTGAGCATCGGATTAATTTCCAGTACTGGTTTTGTGGGAATTTTGTTTGATTGCATGGAGGATTTCACTATGAGCTGACATCCCAAACTAGGACGAAACAGCTGTTCAATACGTCAAGGTTTTTCCAGTGGTTCTCTGACTGATGTCAGCTCATGATTAAATCCTCCATTCAATCGAACAAAATCCCTACAAAAACCAATACTTATGAGCAGTTTATTTAAGTCAGAATTTATTTCTCTGATAGTACTTCTAGCACGGCTGGATTTCATTTTTTTCATTTCATTTTTCACTGGCTCTTTCATGTATTATTTGCTTTGATATCTGTTATGAAAGTTACATCATGCTGATATATTTTTTTTAGCAATTTCATAGTCCACTTATTATTTAACTTCTCACTTTATGTAGCTCAATTTCAAATAATGGCAACACTTATTCTTATTCGGCACCACATCGTCAGAATGTGGAGATTGTGTATGCGTAAGTTCCTAAATATTTCTTTGCCTCTCAACTAGGTATAGGGAGATATTACATATATTTATATTGTTAAGATATTTTACTAAAGGTTCTTAAGTTTGTATGTCTGGTGAGTATCAATGAAGTAAAAACTTTTCAATTCTGTGATCTCAACGTAACATTCTAATTACTGTTGACTTAATCATTTCCACTGACGCACAGGTTAGAATGATTTTTCGTCTAATATATAACCTTGTTTATACTACTATTAACTAACAAAAGATTATCGTGGAGATATTTAAATGCAGTTTGTGAAATCTGCTTCGGGGATGCTGATGCTGAGTATCAGAATTTTTTTAACCACATGATTTTATTGTGTATAATGGTAAACTATCAGCAGTACAGTGGAGTGTTTTTTTATAAAAATTGCCTAGTTGTGTATGGCTCTACTGATTTTGAAGTATTCTGACGTAAATATCTCAGTCCTGATACACTGGTTGTTATACTAGCTACTATTTGTGTAAACCTCCAGAGTAAAATTTACTTTTGATACATTTATAACAGCATGCCTGAACAACACATTCAAAGGTAATCAGTTTTGCCGTACCATTATCTACTGTTTCACTTTGTATTTGCATTATCTGCTTTGATTCTTGTTTCGAATGAGGTAATTTGCAGTCATTTTCTGGTTGGCAAATCGCACCTGTTTATATCTAAGCATATTTGAGCATCCATAATCTACGCCTATTGCTTGCTTCAGTGTATTTAACTACTGACGTTCATTTTATGATCCTCAAAAATAAGTGAAATTTGGAAGGATCAGCGTAGACCATAATGTAATAAAAACTTCAAAATTTATGTATCTCAGCTTTGTATTTTTTGTTAAATTTTAATGCTTTCAATCATTCTTACTTCAGTAGTCTGTATGAAATAAGAAATTAGAATATTTTTCATTTCCACAGTGAATCTTACTTTAGCATTCAAGAATAAGGGGAGTGTGCTCCCATGTGAATATTATCCTAACGTTATTAACAGTCAGGAACGCCACAAATGGACTAAGGAATTAACTCAACTGTGGAATGTCTATTGAAAACATTCTTTAGGTGTTAACTCAGTCCTAAATTTTCACAATCCTTTAATTTGTCATTCAGTGAGTTGTGAGCTGGAATGCGCTTTATTAATACTTATGAAGATATTGTACTGGTGAACTGCATGTATGTTTAACAAGTTATAGCTTATTTCATTTTGCTTTTAGTTTATGGTGCTTAAGGGTGTTAAGAACCTAAAGGATGCATTCCTACCATGTAGTGATTCGAATAAAATTTTAAAAGGCCGGACAAATCTTTAAATCTATGCCTTTAATTTAATAATTTTTAGTTTCAAAGTATGTACAAATAAGTATTAAACGGCCAGCTTTTACGAGAGTGGGGTGATATTTTTGCTTTCTGCTTTTATTATTTAGATGTGTTCTGAAAAAGTCACATTTACTTGCATATCTAGTCTTTCAAGTGTCGTCGTTACAGCTATAGCTCTACATTTTACTGTTAAATAATTTACTCGTTCTTCTTACCATTAGCTGGGATTTTCAATTTGAAATAAACTTTAGGCTGACTGATGAAAAAAATTTGTGAATTTAGATTGCTTGGTGTGATATTTTTTCAACATCACTCCAAAATCTTTCATTATTATGATTAATTTCATTTAGTGTACTGGTGAACCAAAGATAAGTTTACTAGTAACTTTGTAACAACAGAAGACAAGGGCCAGGCAACAGAACGTTTATTACGGAAAATCAACATATATTTATAGATTTGGACGTACATTATTGTAGGTTAATGTCAGTAGAAAATACAGTCTGTTGATTGGTTGTTTCTCACACAAAGTTAACCTTGCATCTCTTGTGGCTGTGTCAATTCTGTATCCGCTTGTCCGTCTTGACCTTGACCTCAATTACTGTCAACCAATTTGGCTAGCAACCATCTCTCACCACAACTTTACCATGCCATGAAATCATAGAACTAACCTCTTATATAGTACGCTTTGTGTGATATGAGTTGATGGAATAGCTTAGCTAAAGGTGGTAAGCAGTTCAGATAGTTGGTTCTCTAATCACCATAATACAACGATTAATATCTTCAGAAAATGATGAAACACTTCACGAGAAATATTCAATATTTTCGAGAAACACATCGGTTTCTTTTATGTAATAAGATAGGATTATCTGCACATCAATAAGTGATTTGCTGATGGCGTTTTACTTTTTTATTTTAGCGATGGAAGACAAAGTAGATACATAGATTAGATCAAAAACGCCGCTTATCACCAACAGAGTGCTTTCTTCTACACTACTTTTTCTGATGGTAGGTTACTTCTACTCTAATAATTTTTGATAATTTGGTTAAAAGTATAGTTTCATGTATGCTAGTTTTCTCACGTATTATCGCTAAATTTGATTGCTGACAACTGTATTGGACTGTATCATCTTACATACTGGCATTTATGCTCTTGAGTTGTTTGCTAGCCTTATGAGTTAAGGAGGTGGGAAACAAACCTGAAAAATTCTTTGTAGTAGAACAAAAACTAGAGAAACTTTCACAGGCTCAGATCGTAACCTAATGTTTCTCGCAACTCCAGTTTTAGCTTTCTGTATTAAACATGAGACTATACAGATTTCAATATTTATTCGTGTTTTGCTGTGGAGTAATGTTTTCAGCAGTTCTTTATCTTGTCAGCTTGTTAAACTATCATGTACTGGTGATTCAGCGGTAGAATGCTCGCCAACCGTGTATATGGTTCGAGGCTCGATCCCAGGTCGACGAACTCATTTACCTCGCTAAGCTGGTAATAAGACTGGTAAGGAGAGAAGGCTTTGAAGTCCTATGTTCCACTGAGAACGTAAATAATAATAAATAGAAAGACTCAGTTGTCTTCTGTTGGGCGAAATGTATCCCATATGCTGGTAAATTCCAAAAAAGGAATTTTTAGCAAGATGCACATAGCTAATTTCTCTTTATAACTGCTAATACTGTGAATAGTCTGTGTCACATAGCTGCAAATGTTTCCTGAACCCCGAAGAAACATCTCTACGATAGACAATTTTTTCGTCTAAATACGAGTATCAGTTTGTTCAAGCGATGGATAAAATACCGTCCCAATTCACTCCTCACCTGCAAAACTACATGTTTTTATACTGAATGAAAATTATTTTAAACTTCATATTGTTAGTACCGTTAACTTAACTGCATAATCAGTGAGTCATTCAAGTGCTTTCCACGAATATTTGGTAATGCATCGTCAGCTCACACTGAAATTCGCTGTCATCATGACTACCAAGATCGTCTAATATATACATATATATATATATAGAGAGAGAGAGATTCCAAGTACTTTCGTGGTTGTTTGAATGTTGCAGTCATGTTAAACTTTGAAATACGTCACACATAACTGATAACAATGCAGAGAAGTTGAAAGTCATAGAACTCTGACTTGCAAAATATTAATCAAGTATATATTAGTGGTAAGGAAACAATAGGCAAAACAATAGGTTTACTATTTAAATTATCATAAAAAGCTGCAAGGGTTAGCTAACTGTTTGATTTCTTTGTAATTAATACACTCTTCATTATACGGTGCATTTATTTTTACGTTATCCAATGCAGTATTTATTAAAATTTATGTTTTTATAATTTTTCAGATCACTGACTCCATTTTTTTCCATTGAAATATCTTAACTGAATCAACTTCCTAATTACGTATAAAATACAAATAGATACAAAACATTAAATACACATTACTGTATATTTTAGTATCTTTTCACATTAATAAAAATATCTTCGTAACCTTTTCTTATGTTCTAACTTGAAAGACAAAACTAAAAAAGCAAGGTCATTTTAGTAAATAGAGATCACATATGTGCCAACACACACTGATTTCCCTTAATTTAGTGTAAGTGTATCGTCATCTCTATACAATATAAAAAAATTGCGAAAATCCTTTTTCTACGACACAATCATTCGTCAGTCACCTGGTTACTTCTATTAACAAACTTCCTATGTCAAATCAAATACTAAATCTTTAAATAAAGCCTATTTAATGAGTACAACGACTACATAGGTACATTATGGTAATTTGAAAGCGAAAATTATTCATTTATACGCACTTTGATCAAATGTTGACCTAATAGACCCAACAGCAAAAGATCATCCATACCCTAAATGAAATTCTATTAGTATCGACTGAATCTTATCAGTTTAGTAGAACCGTTTTGCTGATTAGATACAACTGAAAACCGAATTTTGTAGTGGTTCGATAAGTTCGACTAATCTAGTGTTAGCCATGACATTGTTTTTTAGTTCCTGTCGTCAAAAGCCTAAAATTCAAGACGTGTTGGAGAAGCAATAATACTGATTTTTAAAAAAACCAATAAAAAGAACAATTTATAAGTTAATAAACCACTGAGGAACAACATGAACATAAATTAATCAACTAACTGAACAACAACTATTATTCATAACTGGTTTTGGTAATTTAGGCTTCATGGATTTTGTGATGCGGTATTCACGGTAGCGAAATTTTCTGAAAACCTTCATTAGAGAGTCTAGCTTCACTTGAATCCTGTCATCGTTGTAAGTGTTGAAGATTCTGCGACGTATTGAGGGGATCAGATCCCATTTTAAAATAAAGGTATCCAGCTGTAGAAGTTTACGAATTTTCCATTCCACCTACGCTTATCCACATTTTTTAAAGTTTTGGCTAATAATGTAATTGGGATTCACTACGGGCTATAACTAAGAACTTCAGTTTATATACAAGATATAAGAAATATTTTGACAAGATATGTGTGCGCTTATTTTACAAACAGACTTCATCACCAGTTTCAGCTGCTTACATTTGTAAGTTTTACTTAAAGTTCTTCCCTCAGTACAACATCCTGGGAAACATTTGAGACTGATTGTGGATTATTTTGAAACTTTCGTACATCATATAATATCGATTATCAATTTCACTCCTCAATATTTCTCAAAGCAAATGCTTCTTATTCATTGAAACTTAAATGCCCTTCTTCAAAACTCTAATTACGCATTACGTAGTGTATTTGACGTTTTAATAAATACTGTAAAATATTACTCCGCTAAGCAAGTTCATTATTTTTGGTCAAATAAAAGATCCACATCACTTGGACACAATGCTCCTCATGCAATATAGTCACATAAACATTGCCCATAAATGGAGGTGACCATCTAGATTTGTGATATGGTGGTGTTCGTGCATTTCATCAATCCCCATTCATTATAATATGTTTTCTGTTATGAAGGTTATCTGTTTCGATATACTACGAGCTTTTAATGCTTTCATCTGAGATTATAGTGTAATTAGTGCATTGATTAAAGCATGAAGTCTATAGTCAGGTCAACAACTTGTACTCAGATGTATTCAAGGCAGTTATGCGTTAAGAGGTTACAGGATTTCATCATGAGCTGACATTGGTTAGAGAACCATTGGAAAACCTGGGAGTACTTGACAGCCGTTTCCTCCTAGTTTGGGACTCTTCATCAGTACGCACCCTAGGACCTTCTGGTTACAAGGCTAGCTCGTATACCATTAAGCCTTTGGGACCCAATCCAATGGCCCATGAATTCTAACTTCCGCCAATTCACGATATAGCGCGACCACTAGTCAATGTCTTCGGCGAGTATTTGTCCTCACACCCAACCTGCTGCACCCTACTGGTCACGACTTCCCACTGGAACCCCGGGTAACTACCTATCTGAATAGGGCAAGTCACTAGTGAGCATCTCATTGATGTTCAAGTATTGGTTTGTAGGGATGGTGGGTGCGCACTTATGAAGAGTCCCAAACTAGGAGGAAACAGCTGTCCAGTACTCCCAGGTTTTCCAATGATTCTCTAACCAATGTCAGCTCATGACGAAATCCTGTAACCAATCAACTAAATCCATACAAACCAATACTTGAATATGCGTCAATAGTTTCTTCAAGATAACTAAACTTACTTGTTCTTCGCATAATTAAAATACATAGTTGCAATCAATGAATTTAAGCGAGCTTACAGTCAGTCAATAAATCCTATATATATATGTATATATATATATATATATGTTTAAGTACTAATCAAAGAAAAATTTATGTAATGTTGCTGAACACATGGTAATATATATGACACTCAATATGGTACGTCGTTTGATGAATTACTAGAAACTAGATTCTAGAAATAAAGTGCTCACCAAATGTATACAGTACATAAGTAATAAGAAACTGAAGCATCAAAACCGTATGAATGCATATTCATTTGCATTTGACTATACACTATATAATGAGCACAAATTCAGATCAGTTTCTTGTAAATCATGTAAATGCCTAGTAATAAAAAAAACTATACTCCTGAAGATAAGCCTTTTTACCTTATCAAATAAGTTCTATTTTTATCCTTTGTTTGAGTTTATGGCTACTGCACAAGTGTAAATTAATCTTCTAAATCAGTAGGTTACTTTTAAAGCTACTTATCTTGTTAACAACTGTTTTCTGTGGTTTATGGATACTCAAGATCTCCTGTTATAATCAATTAATTATGTGCATTCTATGAAGTCTGCTGATGTAAATTATGACAAGAGAAGTTGTGCGTTGAGTTTACTTCACAAAAAAGTAAGTTAATTGTAAACATAGAGTGGTCACTTATTGTTTGCAATATCTGTACATTAAGATGAGCAATCCTTGTGAAAAAGGATGCTTTCCCCAAACAAAAACGTATTTGCTAATGGTTTCTAATCTGCATAATAAATATTTACTATGTCTAAAAATGGAGAAGAAAGGATGAGTTGGAAACAACAAAAATTTTACTTTAAATATCATGAATCGTAATGTTGGTGAAATTAAAATACCTGACATTCATCTGTAACAAAATGAAAACACAAAAGGTTGTCACATATAAATTTCTGACGAAAATAGTGTAAAACCCAAGTTTATACTTGACCAGAATATTCTTTTACACAGTATAACTAGTTTAATCTGCAATAATGAGGCAGGAAAGCATCAATAAGTCAAACAAATAATGATTTGTTCTTGATGATCCGTTCAAGTTATTATAAGATTCATAATTTTTGGCTACTATTTACCTGAGTTCATTAAGCTAATGTGTGTTCATTACTGATCATTGGTTAAGAGACTGTTCTGCCTTACAGTTATAAAGATCTGGATGATAAGATCTTGTGTTGACACTTTAGAGAAAGAGGGTACTTTGACGTTTACGGAAAGTCCTATAGACACTAACACAAGTCGCTATAACCA